CCTCCCCCTCCCCTCCCCCTCCCCTCTACTCCCCCTCCCCCTCCTCTCCCCTCCTCTCCCCTGCCCTCCCCCTCTCCTCCCCTCCCCCTCCCCTCCCCCTCCCCCTCCTGCTCCACCCCTCCCCCTCTCCTCACCCTCAAATCCGCATCAAGTATCCGGACGTACCACTCCGTCATCGTCTTGGCCATTCGACCCACGTAGCTCTCCATCAGGGTCACCTGACGGGTACGGAGTTGGTTAGTTGGGGTGGTTGAGGTCGTTACGGTTGGCTGGGAAAGAAGACACTTGGAAAACGGACGGAAGTCGGATGTGAGAAGGAATGCATGCAAAAAATAATGATTTACTGTTTGTTTGTCTGTCCGAATGCCCTGAGGGAACCACGTCATCACCCCTGGAAAGGGGTTTGCGGGGGTATCTTTAAAAGCGGCGGGGGGCGGGGGCGGGGGACGGAGGGGAAAAAGGTAGTCCTCCCCTCTCCCACCCACTCCCTCCTCCCCTCTTTTCACCCCACCCCCCCAACAAGACCGCAATTTTCCAGGTATTGGCCCCTGCGGCACACAGACATCTATACAGACATCTATACACACATACACACACATACATATACATATCCGCTTCGGTTAGGTTGTGCAACATCTGCAAACTTTCTTCTCGCGGCTGAGTTCATCAATACAAACATACATACATGCGTACACAGATGCACACTCTTTCATACACACACACACACACACACCGCCCACCACGCCGGGGAGCCTCTCCGGGTCGGCAAAGGGGGAGGGGGGCAGTCGTACAAGGTCTTCATCCACACCCAGGTTGCGGAGGGTGTCCTGTTGTGGTTGTGGTTGTGGTTGGGATGGCGGGGGGGAAGGGGGGAGGGGTGAAACGGGAGGAAAAACACATGCCGCCCTACACGTACCCTCATCCGCACGTCTAACCTCTTTCTGTTTAACGGCGCACACTTGCACCCTTGACCCTCATCGCCCTTCGTTTACATCTCCCGCACCCCCCTCCCCCGTGATCTCCTCCACCTCCCTAACCCCCTCCCTTTTAGGGGGAAAGATTGCCCACCCTACCCCCCACCTACCC